GCGCCACCTGATAATGTTTTATTCTAAATCTTTATGAACATATGAAATTACACAAGCATTTTGTTGTCTTCATGACTAAAAACATAACTTGAAATCGTTTAATTGTATTTCTTTTACAATAACCATTTACAAATGGGAAGATACAAATCGGTTTTTGTGGTTTTTTTCAATCTTTTCTTGGCAACAAACAATTTCTTTTAATAATTTTATCATAATAGCAAGAGTGGTATATAAGTAATATTTGCTTCACATCAGCATGTGTTGGTCAGTAATATTTGTTCTGTTAATCCACTAGCTCGCTTCTTGAACATTGCGTGTCTGAATGAAAAAACAAATTATAACGATGGTAATTTAAAAGTTTGTTTTCCTCATTTAACATATATAAATATAACGAAATCTAATAAGAAGATAAGTCACATTTAAATTCACTCTTGTAGTGGCACAGTTAAGAAAGTACTTGACGCAATACTAAAATTTTCTTATGTATGAAAATCACGAAATGTATCTTATTATGGGGCTGCTGCACCTCCCTGTGTAGATTTTGACATTTTTGTTGATCATTTTGGTTTTTTCCTTAGTCGCCTCCTATGCTTTAAACCTCAGGCCTTAAGCATCACTGACGAGTCATAGAAGGACGAAAACAGCTGTATGATGCAGTCTAATTCATTGTTTGGCTCTATTGTATATCACTTTGAATCACGAAAAGGTGCTGTTAACTTTTGTGTCTTTTGTACAATCAGATTCGATTTTGGATATGTGGGGAATAAAAACAAGACTCTGTTCAATCACGATTAAAGTAACTCGCTTTAGTCCTAAATTTAGAATCATACATTTGTCATTATTACATAAGATATTCCTCAGTCAGTGAATCCATTATTTCTCGATGTCCGGAAAACAGCACTTAATTATTATTCTCCTTATCTAGGGCTCTGCTAAAGTATACAGAGGGCAACGCTCCCAAACCAATCCCCTTGGTGTTTCAGCAGCTCAATAAAACATGAACACAGTGAAAAGAGCAGCTGAGGCATTATATTGGAAAATTAAATATAAATAGACTTCAAAGCGTCATAACTTATATTCATTAATGAATAATGAAACAGAAACCTTTTTAACGTGGGAACATTTCTGTGATAGTACACTAAATGAACATGCGGAATCAGCAAAGATTTGCCGTTTATTATTCCCAGAACTAATTACTTATTCAGAATAAAATGTCAAAGCAATAAACTATTTTATTGTATGTATTTCGTCAGTTATCTTTGGCATTCACGGAATAATAAACGACAACACATTTAACTTAACAATATTGCATAAGATTTTTTTTACAATTCTAGAGAAAAAGTATAAAAACCCATCGAAACATTGATAATTCTGACATTTCAGCAAGTATTTTAACAATATATCAAATTTGTCCACTAAACTGCTAACACTACATGGCATAACATACTTTCACTGTTCGAGATTTACATTGCGGCTGTCTTCGATGAACATTTGGTTTCATTCTCCTTACGACTATTTCCAAGGATATCATTCTTTCGATCATATTTTGCATTCGACTTATCGCATTTGAATTAGGAGATGTTTTCCAAATGTTCCTTTTCAGACAGAATATTTATAAAGACAAGAAGAGGATTCTTTGACACAGATCTGTCTCAGGGGAATGTAGGCTGAAGGTGACCTATTTTTGTTATGTATAGGATTTGACACGACATTTCTACCTCAAACATTCTTGGAACAATGTACACGTGAAGCCAGTTGTCCTGTACAAATACATAATTGGTATCCGATGGGATTCCCGGGGTCTTTGTTTCCCTCTCTTTGATTTATCCTTAATACTATTTACTGTTATAGGTTAAGATGTTAAGAAAATAGGTATTTGTTTTTAAACCGAAATGTGTTGTTTGTCACTCTTAGTTATATCAGAAACTCTTATCTTACCCGTTCCCGACTTCGGTCTGGCTGTCAAAAGATATATCTGTCTTACATTACCTTTTTTCATAAAGTAAAACGACAATGAAAAAAAAAGAAAATAAATCAAATTCATGAATTGTCCCAGTTGCCCCCTAGGTTACTCATCAGCATCACTTACGCGCCTTGAAAGGGCGAATCAATTGCATGATATATTTAATGCATTTTTCGGCTCTGTTATATCTAGTTCTTAATTCGTATTGAAAGGCGCTGTTCTCTTGAGCATCTTTTGCGCGATAATATAAGCTACTCAACAGTGAGTTTTTTTTTCAGATATACAGGAAATATATAAAAACTAGAAAACTGCTTACCTCAAGTCTTATTTGACACGCAAACAGGATTTTTTTTAGAAATCATGATTTTCCGCAATTTTTTTCCCGTACAGCTACCTAGACTCAATCCACGCTTTAAAGCACGTGTTTTGTAATATTTGTATCGCCACTATGCGTTCTAATAGCAGATTGTTAAGAATCTGTCGTCATTAGCAATTGAAACCTGCATGCCCGCTAAATTTCCTGAGCAAATTAAAGAGTCTTGGATAATGAGTGATATGACATCGTATCTTGTACAATAGCTTTTCCCCTAACCGTTTATCTTAAATGGGCCATATATTAATGTTATCACTACTGCCTGATTATAGAATCAAGTGAGATCGCACATCGATTGCTCAGAGACCAGGGAGCGTCGTTCAGCATACAGAGATAACGGCGATATTAGTTGTATGGAGCTTTGGTGAACGTTAGATTCTGACTGATATTAAAGATTTAAAAGTGATAAGGTCACAGTTACGATTTCAAACCAGCGAGCACACAACAATCTCTCTATTAATATACAAGATTTAAGTATACTTCGTTGTAAAAAAAAAAAAAAAAAATAAGAAACTTTTCTCATCTGTATTCTGACTGTTTGACTTGTACAATATTGAAATCGATATCGGAAAAAATGTAAGAAAACAAATTTCTTTTTGTTTACCCGGAATATGGATGTGGAATGTCAAATTTGTAACATGTTCGAAAGTACGCCTGGAGGCAATGGTATATTTCTTGAACAATTTTGATCAATGAAAAATCAAATAAATTCCACGTTGTCAAACAGAGAAATAGAGTAGATGTGTTTATATATATAATAGAATACAGTACTTTTATGCGATTAGGACCTCCTGGTGACTTGCTTTGTAAGTTCAATAATCAACATTCGTCAGCAGACATTATAAGGTAAATAAACCTGTTTTAATCATTAGATATTTAATTACATTTTTTTTACCTTTTTTGTCTATTTATAGTCTTTCAATTTGTTTATGATGAAATGTGAGAACTGTGATTAAACAATCAAACATTTTTGAGAAAGCTGAAAACAATGAAAAGATTAGTTGTCTTAATACTTCTCATTTACCATTGCGTGACTACCACGATCATAATTAAATGAAACAATTTTGAAAATCAACAGATAAGCGCTGAGAAGCCAAGATTCATTATGTTATTTTTGACGATTATCAATTAGATATCAAGCATTGACAGTTTCTAATTTTAAGCAAATAGTCTCATCCTGGTGTCTGGACAACCGACGTGGAGTTTTAGCTGACGTGTCAACAGCTCTTGGGAAACTGACATCTGCTGTGTAATGACTTTCTCTAATCACATTTTGTCCTAGAGAACGACGTTTCAAAGATATATATACCATTGCTTGTTTAAATGTGGGTAGTGATCTGAGCGCCGATTACGGGGTTAAGCACTAACATATGACGTTTCTGTGTCGTCGACTTTATTCGGATTAAATCAATACGTTTGTGGTACAGTTTGTTCTAATACCAATTTTCCCGATTCTTTTTACATAACGATGTTGTATATAATCCCTGCAATTTCTGTGCACTTGTCTTTAATTTGTCATATTAATGAACGCTCCGATGTCATATATTGTTTGTGTCAAATATGATTAAATACACTATTAATTTGATATTTCATGCTTTTGTTTATTTACTTATTTATTCTATCAATGTTTTCCAATATGAATATTTAGAAATCACTTTAAATCACTGATGAAATCACAATCACAAATTAGAGGTACATATCATATTTCAAATCTTTTTGCTACAAGTATCATACCAAATCATTTGAAATGTACGGAGTAATTTTCACTTGTTTAGTTCCGACTTATTACTTGTGTGTTCTGGTTTAAATTTTTCTTTCATTGTTTGTCTCAATTTATTTCTAATGCTTATACGGAATCATGTTTAATCGGAATCGATCTCCAGCATCGCTAGCTATGCCACTGAACACGCATTGTGTTCCGGTTGTTACTATATATAGAACGTGTTAATATAAAAGTACAAATCTCTTTTTAGCCCGTCTTTTCTTGCCTAAACGCCTCTTTACTCAACCTCTCACTGCAAATGAATAGTGTTTTCGGTGGAGAGAGTACCCGATCTTAATGTGAATGAATTTGTCCCTGTATCCTGTGTGCGTTCAACATAATTTGTAATGATGGCGTAGATGCCTGTTAGCTATTATGTTTATCTTGCATCTGTCTGTTCTTACTTTTCATACTAGGCATACAAAAAAGAACATGTAAAAACAAGGCCTGCTCCAGGCATGTTCGTAAGAGCATCGGATTTTATTGTTCGTTGACACTTTGATAATTGTATAGTGCTGAGGTTGTCTGGAAATGAAACCCGCACGGACTGAAGTTGATATTAAGTCCCACTCAATCTCAAAAATTGATTTGAGTTCCGTGTTGCGCCTGGCTATGATTGACAAATTTCAATAATTTTCCAATATTTTGCAACGCAGCAATCACTTCGAAAAATAGATTTATTACATATCCGACTTCTGCACTCTTTTTCAGAGTGATTATTGAAATTTTTAGATTTATATTCTTTACAAGAATCCAATGGAACATTCACATTGATAATCAAAATATACATGAGAACTTATGCATCAGATATGATGATCTAGAATACATGTATATAAAGATATGTAATATAAGAGTCAGTTTTGCTAACCCTGTTGTGTACTGATGTACTTAATAAAAGTAAACTAAATTTGTGAACTCAAAAGACATTTTGATAGGTTTTGTACCATATGCACTATGAGTTGTGTAGTAAAGATCATCGGTAATGTTGTAGTACTGTACGGATCATCTGTACTGCTGTATATATCATTTCTACTGCTGTACGGATCATCTGTACTGCTGTATATATCATTTCTGCTGCTGTACGGATCATCTGTACTGCTGTATTTATCATTTCTACTGCTGTACGGATCATCTGTACTGCTGTATATATCATTTCTACTGCTGTACGGATCATCTGTACTGCTGTATATATCATTTCTACTGCTGTACGGATCATCTGTATTGCTGTATATTTCATTTCTGCTGCTGTACGGATCATCTGTACTGCTGTATATATCATTTCTACTGCTGTACGGATCATCTGTACTGCTGTATATATCATTTCTACTGCTGTACAGATCATCTGTACTGCTGTATATATCATTTCTACTGCTGTACGGATCATCTGTACTGCTGTATATATCATTTCTACTGCTGTACAGATCATCTGTACTGCTGTATATATCATTTCTACTGCTGTACAGATCATCTGTACTGCTGTATATATCATTTCTACTGCTGTACAGATCATCTGTACTGCTGTATTTATCATTTCTACTGCTGTACAGATCATCTGTACTGCTGAATATATCATTTCTACTGCTGTACGGATCATCTATACCGCAGTATATATAATTTCTACTGCTGTACGGATCATCTGTACCTGGGCCTTCTTACAATATCCGTATAATTATTTTTCACTCTATTCCCGCTGGGATCTAATTGATATTTTATATCCAGTGAATTCTAGATTAACAGTAGCATGGCTGGATCATCAAAATGAGTAAAATTATCACTTCTAGTGCAAAATGTATAACCTGTATGAACATTCTTACTAAATATGAATAATTATTTTTCCCCTCTGGGAACTAAATGATATTTTATTTCCCCCAAAAAATTCACATTATATTTGTTGGCTTCAGTGCAATGTCATTTGGGAAATATCATATTTTTGGTACGATATGAAGCTTGGTGTTTTGATGCTGGATCAGCTATCGTGATATTACCCACTTGGATTGATTGTGATATGAATAACGGATGTCGACTGAACAGAAAACGCTTACTCTTCCGGAACACGTGGTCTTATTTCCTTTGTATATTTAAGGGAATGTCCATGTAATTCTTTCTTTTATTCTTTTTTTGTTCTTGCTGTTTTGAATTTGGATTTGATATATAAATCTGCTGATCTGTTGATATGAACAACATTGATTCATGTATTATGTGATGGAAAAGAAACAATATATTAACACAACTGTGATACAGACACAGCGTTTTCGCGTGAGCATAGCTAGCCGCACAGCCAAACTTTCCAAACTCATGATCAGGATTTTATTACATTTACTTACAGCACAGTTATACAATGGAGCGCACCATTAACTATACTTAGTCAAACTGATGGAACGTAGTGTGACTCCGTGTAAGATATGTGTCTGGGATCAGGGACGATCTATCTTTGTATACACAGATGACATGCAAACTAAACATCTGTATTGATGAATAATTATTCTTTCATCTGTCATATCCATTGCTTGTCGTGTTGTAGATTTTCCCTATTATACCTTATTAATCTAATAAGGCTGGCTCTTATCTGTGCAATAAGCCAGCGTCTCGTCCTGCCACATTGGTCAATTTGACCAGTAGATGGCAGCCGCCCTGCGGTCGTACCTCGCGACCGTTTGTTGATGCGCTAGACAAATAGATCAAACCATTTATATGCAAATGCGTTATGTTAACGTTATGTTAATCTACCAATTATGGCGATCTGTGTTAAAGTGCACCTGCCAAGAAAACCATCCAGCCTGAAAATAAAGGTTCATTGTTAATTAAGATACCGTAAGCATACACTGTTGAAAGATATCTTACAAAGAACTATGTTTTTGAGCAAAACAAGAGTATAAGTGAGTACAATGCGACATCTGACGAATCTCTATTTCAATCCTGAAAAAAACATATTTCTCTTCTAGTTACAAAATGAATCGGTCATAATGACTGCATTACTTTTTATTTCATCAATTCATCAATTAAAAAAAAAAGAATAAAAAAATAAAAAAAAACAAAAAAAAAAAAAAAAAACATCGATACCAACAAGCCCTTCTTTCACACTCACATTAGTAAATAGTTATAGAAATTTCAAATTATGATAATAACCATATATGGCATTATTTACCTTGACCTAATTATTTGAACTGAAAGTGGAATAAGTTTCATACCATCCACTAACTACGTATAATACTAAGCTGTCGTTATCTATTTGAACATTTTCGTTTTTAAAAGCTAGATAAATTATCATCCCTTTTAAGTTCGGCGTGCTGTCCTTGAAATCAAATGGAATATTTCTGGTTTAAAATTTTATCACAAACTGCTGAAATACCAATACTCAATAATTCATTACAAAGAGTCGCCAGCGTGTCATAAACTATTATTTGTAGTGAACATGAGCGAGGTATTTTACATCGGCATTGTTAACGCCAAGCTGGTGGCACACGATACGTAATACATGTAAATGCACTTATCATCATGATACATCGAAGTGATCCTATCATGTTTTAACTAACAGAGGAGACCGTTATACAAAATGCCATGACATTGCTAGAACAGAGTTTGGGGACATCATTCTAGATGGAAGTTTCGGAACAATGGTAATGAGTCTGGCGTCGTTTGATTAAAAACCACATCTGACTTTACCTTGTCATTACGTCCCAAACATACATAGTGAATTGGTTAAAATGTCCCCGAAAATCAACAACTAGAATTTATATAACTTAGACCTGAAAAGGACAAATTTGTATCTTTTCTCAATTATCTTTGTCGATCACAGAATTACATGTGTTAGATAATAATGCATATGCAGTATGAATCTGCCTAATCAATATCTTTGGAAGATAATCAACGCAATCAACATTCCTTTTATGTATTCAGTTATATCGCCATTTTACATATATATCTAAGGGAATTTTGAAATTTTTGTCGTTTTGTTTTTAACATCAAAAAGGAATCCGACAGTCTGCGCACGTTCCGGATGTTAAAGATAGTGAGCAGTAATTCATGATTTAGAACTTTTCGCCTATCCATACTCTTATTATTTCCTAATGGGAATACTACGTTATTTCAGTTTTTATTAAAGAGATTAAAATCTGAGAGTCCGTCTATAGTGTTATCCCCAGCAGGTAAATACCAACAAATCTAATACTGCTGGTAAAACGGTAGCTCTAGAACACGGGTTAAACAATGTATGGATTGATTATCAATCGTTCTACTCTGCACTATTTCACAATATAACTCTAAATTTATAAATTATACATAATTATCGAAATATATTACTGTAAGGTAAAAGCAAGCATAATTAGAGTTGGTACACATTGCAACTTCGTTAAACATGTTCAGAAAAGACGGACAACTCTATTGAAATATACACACAGCTGTACATGCACATTAATTTTAAATGTATATGAAAGAGTGAATCACAAGACAACTACTCTGTTAGTAACGTGTGTCTTTGAAATGTTTTGATTATACGGTACCCATTAATATTTGCCCCTGAGTACGCCTGTCACGACATAACCTTTCAACTATTTACAAAGCAAAACAAAATATAATTGATCTTTTTTTTTCTAAATACTAATGAGCATGCGGTTCCAGACTTCTAGATTCATAAAAAAGATCAGTCAACTTTAAAACTAAAAAAAAAACTGTCTAATTTTAGATATCCCTGTTTCGATGCAAGCCGTGTAGCACATAAAAGGTTTGGTTTGTATGTTTAAAGTTCTATAATAATTTGGTAATTTGAGGACAGCTTACATATGAATGGAAGATGTTTGCATGTGTTCATTGCACGTGTTTTCGAAAAGCTGTGACGTGTTCGGGTAAAACTCCTTATGGAATTGCGGAACTGATACTGACTTTTTAGTACCATACTACTGACGTTAACAAACCCTAATTCCATATATACTTAATGCAACATTGCGTGATCCAAACCTCGTAATTTTTCTTTCATATAATAATCCTAAGCATTGCATTCACTTAAATTTCCACATTGAATGTAACACGAAGAGCAGACAGGGTGACCCAGTACACGTCAAAATGTTATTGGGAAGCCTTTCGGTTTGGTTGTCGACCGCTGTTGAAATGACATGCATTAAACAATCATTTTTGGAGGAAAAAAAAAAAAAAAAGAATCCGACACAATAACGGAATGGTTTGTTGGAAACAAGTGAGTGAAAATAACGTGGGCAGGAGCATCTGAGACGATGGAAAGTATGCTTCAGTTGCCGTAGTTGTGTATTGCATTCGTTTGCGGTCGACAATGATTTTTATACGATTGTAACGAGGTTGCCTGTCATAAAAAGACATGTTTGACATCAAAGTTGCAATCATTTTTGTCCATCACCATTTCCTCTGGTGCCGGTTATTTCAAAAGCTTCAGACGACAGAGAATTTTTTAAAATGTCTAACGGTTGTCGCGGAATATCAAGATTTTTTTTCATAGAATCATTTACCATTTTTCCTCTCCTATTACCACTCCTTCAAGAGCATCATTAGGGATAAGACGAGTACACTACACAATAATAGTTCTGTGTTGTTATGCAAACTTGATTGAAATCTAAAAAAAAACCCAACTTTTTTTTAGGTAAACAGAATGAAATTAACCTTTCTCCTATGATCCATCACCACACTTAAACGCGTAAACTGGCTCTCTGTTTGGCAAACGTGTGAATTATGTTACCCAAGCTTCGATATCTAGCGAATAGTTAAACTCGGAAATAAAGAATGACACCGATCTGCATGTCGCTATGGCGTTAGTAGCCTTTCCCGTAACACTGATACGTAAGGTAATGTTGATATTATATTTGTATCTATTTACAGTATGAGAAAAGATGTGTAACGTGTTACAAATAATTGAAGAAAAATAAAAGCTTGGCTCGCCAACAACACACCAACTGACCACCTCACTTAACTCTAGACCGTGGCTGTCCAGACAAACCAATCACAGCTCTCTAGCCTATTACTAAAGTCATTAGCCAATCTTCTATCAAGATTAGATTAGCTTAAATGTACTAATATACATCTGTCTGCCTGTATTGTCCTTTGGCTCGAGCTCAAGGTCATACAGAAATGAAAGAACTAACAAATACACGCTGAGGCAATGAGTAATAGGAATTTCAGCTTATACATAATTACACTGTCATCTAATCTAGGGTTAACATGTTACCCGAAAATTCCTAATTATTACCGTTGATAATTACATGTAGATGGCGAGTTCTAGTTAGGCAGTGTTGAATTTACTTTTCCAAATATTTATTGAAAGATGAATAAGAGCAGAGCCACGATAGCCAAGTCGGTTTGGAAGTTGGCCTACGGTCAACGGATTTTAATCTAATATATATCATTGTATGCTTTGTGAGGAACTTCGGGAGCCCAACTTTGGGGGCCCTATGATTGGGACAATAAACACTTGAATTATTTTCAAGGGGAAAAAAGGAGGGTGTTTGCCTAAGAAACCACGGTCGAAGATCCTAGGTGCATGGTTCGATTCTCCCTAACCGTGGAAGTTTGTATTTCTCAGAAAGCTCAGAAACTGA